GCAGGAGAATAGGTTGAATCTGAGAGGCAGAGGTTACAATGAGTTAAGACCACGCCATTGCACTACAGCCTGGGCAACAGAGTGAGGCTCCTTCTCAAAAAAGAAAAAAGAAAACCCCTTAGTCTCAGTCCAAAAGCTCCTGTAGCTGATAAACAACTACTTAAGCAAAGTTGCAGGATACAAAATTGATGTACAAAAATCACTAGCATTCCTACACCCCAACAAGAGCCCAACTGAAAGCAAAATCAGAAAGGCAATCCCATTCATAATTGCCAAAAAAAAAAAAAAAAAAAAAAAAAAAAAAAAAAGGGTAAAATACCTAGGAATACAGCTAACCAGGGAAGTGAAATACCTCTACAATGAGAATTACAAAACACTGCTCAAAGAAATCAGAGAAGACACCAATGGAAAAATATCCCACATTCACGGATAGAAAGAATCAGTATCATTAAAATGGTTATACTGCCCAAAACTATTTACAGATTCAATGCTATTCCTATCAAAATACCAACTCATTCTTTATAGAACTATTAATAGAAAAAACTATTTGAAAATTCATATGGAATCAAAAAAGAGTCCAAACAGCCAAGGCAATCCTTAGCAAAAAGAACAAAGCTAGAGGCATCACGTTACTGACTTCAAACTATACTAGAAGACTACAGTAACCAAAACAGCATGATACTGCTAAAAAAACAGGCACATACACCAATGAAACAGAACATATAGCCCAGAAAGAAGGCCACGCATCTACAACCATCTGATTTTTGACAAAGAAGGCCACGCATCTACAATCTGATCTTTGACAAAAACAAGCAATGGGGCAAAGACTCCCTATTCAATAAGTGGTACTGGGATAACTGGCTAGCCATATGCAGAAGATTGAAGCCCCGACCCCTGCCTTACACCACACACAAAAATCAACCAAGATAGATTAAAGACTCAAATGTAAAACCCAAAACTATAAAAACCCTGGAAGACAACCTAGGCAATACCATCCTGGACATAGAAACAGGCAAAGATTTCATGACAAAGACACTAAAAGCAATCACAACAAAACCAAAAATTGACAAGTGAGATCTAATTAAACTTAAAAGTTTCTGCACAGCAAAATAAACTATCAAGAGTAAATATACAACCTACAGAATGGGAGAAAATATTTGCAAACTATGCATCTGACAAAGGACTAATACCCAGCATCTATAAGGAACTTAAATTTATAAAAGAAAAACAATCCCATTGAAAAGTGGGCAAAGGACATGAACAGACAGACATTTCTCAACAGAAGACATACTTGTGGCCAACAGGCATATGAAATAAAGCTTAATATCACTGATCATTAGAGAAATGCAAATCAAAACCACAATGAGATACCATCTCACACTCGTCAAAATGGTTATTGTTAAAAACTCAAAAAAACAACAGATGCTGCCAAGGTTGTGGAGAAAAGGGAACATTTATACACTGTTGATGGGAATGTAAATTCATTCAAACATTGTGGGAAGTAGTATGGTGATTCCTCAAAGAACTAAAAGCAAAACTACCATTCAACCCAGCAATCCCATTACTGGGTATATACCCAGAAGAGGAGAAATCATTCTACCATAAAGATACATGCATGTGAATGTTCATCACGCACTATTCACAATAGCAAAGACATGGAATCAACCTAAATGCCCATCAATGACAGATTGGATAAAGAAAATATGGTACATACACACCATGGAATACTATGTAGCCATAAAAAAGAAAAAGATTATGTCTTTTGAAGGAATGTAGATGAGGCTGGAGGCCTCTTAAAAAACTAACTTTTAACTAATTAATGCAGGAACAGAAAACCAAATACTACATGTTCTCACTTATAAGTGGGAGCTAAATAAGAACTTACTAACACAAAGAAGTAAACAACAGACACTTGGAGTCTACTTGATGAAGGAGGGTGGGAGGAGGGAGAAGAGCAGAAAAGATAACTATTGGGCACTGGGCTTCATACCTGGCCAATGAAGAAACATGTACAACAAACCCCCATGACATATGTTTACCAATGTAACAAACCTTCACATGTACCCCCAAACCTAAATGTTAAAAAAAAAACAAGGAAACTAAAAAGAGAAAAAAAAGAAAAAAAAATCTCTATGTGGATTTGCCTCTATGTGGGTAGGCAATGAGATTTGTTTAATTTCACTTTTGTTTTTTAAGGAGTTGATTTTTAAAATTTAATCTTGATGTTTTGTTGGTTTAGTTTTTAATTTTTTTGTTTGTTTTTTTCAAGACAGAGTCTTGCTCTGTAGCCCAGGCTGAAGTGCAGTGGTGCGATCTCAGCTCACCGTACCCTCCACCTCCTGGGTTCAAGTGATTCTCCTGCCTCAGTCTCCCAAGTAGCTAGGACTACAGGCACCTGCCACCACATTTGGCTTATTTTTGTATTTTTAAGTAGAGATGCGGTTTCACTATATTGGCTAGGCTGGTCTCAAACTCCTGGTCTCAGGTAATTGCCCCACCTTAGCTTCCCAAAGTGCTGGGATTACAGGCATGAGCCACTGCACCCGGCCCTAATTTTGTTTTATAAATAGGTAAAACATATGCTTAGTTCCCTGGTCAAATCTACAAAACAAAGTGTATTCAAATAATTGTAACTACTGTCCCTATTCCCTTTGCCTACTTCCTCCTCTTCCAAGCATAAACATTATTTAAGTATAATCATTTCTTCCTGCCTTGCTATATTGTATCATTAATATAAGTAAATATGTTTATGGGTGTATCTTTTGGTATTTAGAAAGGTTTCTATTTGTGTTCTAACCATTACCTTTATACTAATACCTTTACTTAATACATTTAGAGTTCTGATCTTTTCCTGTTGTCTACTGGTTTCTACCATAGCATTCCTCAGCATCCAATTTGAAGCAATGTTTTATTCCCAGTTAATATCTACAAGGTAATCAGTGAACTTAATTTGTTGTTCATATACTCACTCTCTTCTTCCCCCAGTTGATAGTTGCATTTTATTATACTTCCAGAACACCCAGCCGTCATGCACCATACTTATACACATGCTTTTATAATCTTCATTTAGATTTCATTCTATAGACAAATAGACATTTAATGCTCACCAATAGTCTTTATGTCAATGTCTCTCCAGTCAGTTTGTTATCTGAAAATTCTACCTCAGCAGATTCCCAAGGGAAGATTTTTGAAATAGTTTCCTGAATTTTCACATCTTCAATATAATTTGTCTGAAGCCTTTATAATTTAATGTCAGTTTGATTAAAGTCTTTGATTCACATTTTATTTTCTCTCCTGGCATAAACCAGGGCAGTCAAAAAAAAAAAAAAGTGTATGATGGTAATTGACTTTTCTTTCACTAAGTGTCTGGTTCTTTTGTATGAATATCCGAAGAATTTTTTTCCTTTAAATTCCAATAATTTTACAAGACTATCTCTCATTGAATTCTGTTCTGGGTCATTTTCCTCCAGATACACAATATATCCTTTCAAGATGTCACATGGAGGTTTATATTTTAAGGTCAGTTTTATTACAGTTTTTAGCATTTGCTCTTTGCCATTGATTGGTTTTCTTTTTCAGGATCTCCTATTTTACATATGTTTGAACAACTTTGGATATCTTTTAAACTTATTTTTTCTCAAATTCTCTCTTCATGTCATTTTGATTTTTAAAATTTTCCTTCTTTTAATCTTTTAAAAAATGAATATATTTATTTATTCTAGTATTCATGAAATTAATCTTTAATTTCTGAAATGATTTTTTAAAATTTATTTTTCTAGGCCGGGCGCGGTGGCTCAAGCCTGTAATCCCAGCACTTTGGGAGGCTGAGG